TAAATAGCAAGTCCCATCTACTCTACTTTCTGAGTATGTTTGCAACACATTCATTCCTGCAAAGTGACTACCATCCAATGCATTAGTTTCCTAATGTTTCTTCCTTATATCCAAACCTGTCTGTTGTTCCACAACTTGGGAGCCAGTGAATTTTTAAAAAATATGTGTTGAAATTATTTACTTATTTAAAATTCTCCTCAAAGCTCTCAAGATAAGGACAACATGTCTTAACAAGACCTATAAGGTCCTACAGTATCCAGAACCTCCATGCCTCTCCTGAATCCTGCCTTTCTTCCCCTCAAAACCCACCAGACTTCTTCTAGTTCACGATCTCATGAGCAAATCTTTTGTTAAATATTTCCTATTCATAATATTTCAAAGGTCAGTTTAAAATCTCACTTCCTTTGGAAAGTTTTTCTTCCAGAAAGCTTTTTTCCCCCCTTTGGTTGCTTTTTCAAAATCTGTCTTCTTGATTGATGTTTCATCTTAATCATCTTTATATCTCAGATCCTAGCACCATTCTTAAGCACCTACTCAATTAACATACCAAATGAATAAACTCAGGAAGAGTAAAAATAAAATGACCAGTTTTCAGATATAGTTAGATTTTTTTTCCCAAAAATATGGTGATAATCTTTTGAATCATCTTACAGTCACATGTGTGATATATTTAATATAAGGTAACCTGTGATGATAGCACATTAGGACTAATATTTAATTTTTAAAACTTAACTATTTTATGATTAAGATAATCTTTGGATATCTTTGTGGTTGTCTTAGAATTAAGGTTATTGTTCAAAATATTTTACTATCAAAGAACACTACGTTCCTAAACACAAAACAAACAAACCTAAAAATTAGAAGGAAAAGACTTGGGACCGAACATGGAGAATGAATATCTGCTCTGCTCACATTTTTGAGGGAAGTGGAGAATAAGAGTAAAAGAAGCAGAGAAACAATAGTAAACCAAAGACAGGATGAATCCATCCTGAGAACTATTAAATTGCCTTTGTAGTGACAAGTTTTCTTTCTGTGAAAATCATATTAAATACTTAACTTTAACAGAAGCTTTTGTATCCAAATCTGTTTAAGCAAGAAATCAAATTTCTTGAAATTTTGAAATCAAAATTACATATAATGACAAGAAAATTATAATGACTTTTCTTCTGTGATCAAGTAAGGCTTCTTAGAGAATATTCAACTCAAGATAAATCATTCGGAAGAGGAAAATTTGCACAGTTGAGGTGAGACGGAATTTAGATGATGAAAGAGTATGAACCACAGTTTAAGGTGAAAGATTTACTTTATAAACAGAGTACAGCAGCTTTTGAGGACCAGTAAGAACAAGTAGGAATTGGTTTAGGAACATGCTAAAGGTAGGGTATGAACACTCTCAAAGCCAAAATAAAATATTTACATTTTATGTCACAGAAAATAATGGGTTTCAACTGAATAGTCATATGATAAAAGTGATATTTTGGTGAAATTAATGTAGAAAAACTGTCCACAGTGTTGAGAAAGGAAAGATGTTGTAAAAGAGGTAGCAGAGAAATGATAAATTTAATAATTTAAGAAAGAGGTTACTTGTAAAGGCCTCAAGTGGAGAAATAAATTGATATAAGGACTGGGGTTGTGGCTCAGTGGTAGAGCACTTGCCTAGCATGTGTGAGGTACTGGGTTTGATTCTCAGAATCGTACAAATAAATGAAGATATCATGTCCATCTACAACTAAAATATTTTTTAAAAGATTGATCTGAAAAATACCACTGAAATTTCAAGATGAAAGGCATAATTTTAAACACATACACACACATTTAATAAGAGTGCAGGGTAAAAAGAGGTGTCAGAGATGATTCCTATGTTTCTAGCTTGAACAACTTAGAGGAAAATAATGACATTTATCTAAACATGTGGGTGTGATGTTTTGTCACTGACATTAAGCGTAATTGCCAAGACATATTTTCATAAAACTACTGATTATCTCCTGGGAACAGTGTATCTGCTCATCATTTAGCTATCAATGGCTGACACCAGCAGTTGCTTGGTAGGAAAACAGGCATTATCAGAAAAACCAAAGGATTAAATGAGAAGTTTAAGTTGAATATAATTCAATAATAATAATATTATTATGTTGATATGAATAGTTCTCTTTAAAATTTAAAAATTATTTTAAACAAATATACAACCATTCATTCACCTGATTTATACAGCATATATTTTTTGAGTCCTTACTGTGTGAGGCATGAAAGGAAAGATGTTCAAAATGTAAATATCATCTAAGTAACACAAAATTCCTTTGAGAGGTCAGAAAGTACAAAATCCACAAGTAAACTCCTCATGGTCTATATTATTCTAATTCAGTCTTAGGGAGGGTAAAAAACTAATGTGAAAAAGAATGACTTTCTAGTTAGACTAGAAAGGTGTGAAAAATGTTCAAAAGTAGAAAAATACATGAATGTGTCTACTTTGGTAGGAATATATGGTACCCATTGAAGAAAATGACTGTTTACATTAGAATCACATTGTAGAAGTCATGAATGCCAAAATCACAGGTTTGGACTTTTTAAATAGGAAATGGGGGCAGGTAGTCAGTGCAAGTGGTTAGTCCTGATGACAATAAAAATAATAATAATAATAATAATAATAATAGCTATCACTGCGTAGCTGGCACATGTTGGTCCTGCTTTTAGTGTAAATTCCCCTGATGAGCACCTAAATGTTAAGTTGCTATATTTGTCACTAGGGAAAATATAAAGTTAAATCACAGATTATTATATTAAAGAATCAAACAATGTATCTAAATGAAGAAATTTATTCATTTTCATATTTTTTCATATCTCCATAACACAAGATAGGTTTATAAAAATAAAAGGCTGCAGTAAATGTTTAAAAATGACTACAAGTTCCTGGTAATAGCCACTATTCATTGATTCTCACTGTGAAGGAAGCACTGTACTAGGTTCATTACATAAGTTATTACCCTCCTTCACTGAGCAGAACTTTTATGTCTTCCTATTGCATGCAGTAGAAAAATAAGAAAACCTTGCCACAGCACAGACACACTGCAAGCCCTGGCTTAGATCTCCTTCACCCCACAGGACTTCCTAGGACTTCCCTTCACCCACATTACCCTCCAGCCATCAAGGCACAGTAGATCTCGAAATTAAATTCTTTCTTGCATCAGGACTCTGCATTTACAGCAATGATAGTCCTCAGATTCTTAGAGAACTGTCTTATTCTTAGCCTTCAACTTTAAATCTAAAATACTACTACTTGTTTTGTTACTCGTTTTCTTCCTGCAAATAAAGGCAGGGCATTTAATCTCAAATAGATACTCATAAGTATTTGTGGTACCAATAAATGGATTGGTCATCACATCTTAGTGATTCATGAAATATTAATATTAAGGATAAAAATTAAAGATGAGAAAGCAGAGGCTCAGAAATATCAAGTTCACTCTCCTTAGGTCATCAAGATCATAAGTGTTAGAGGACAGTTTGATAATGATCTCAAAGCCTCCCACTTCCTCGAATCATCTTCATGAATAAAGAAGGGGGTAATTCATTCTAGGTTTTGAGGCCTCTCAGGGAGGTTCAACACTTTATCTGGTGCATTAATGAAGGACCTAAGAAGGTGATTAAAGGAATAAAAGTGCAGGTGTGTTCTTGGATCCATGAGTACCTCAAATCCCTAAAGAAAGAAAACATCTGTAAGCAGACAGTGAACTCCAGATGATTCTTTTCTAATTAATTTTTCTTTCTTCTTTTCTTATTTATAGACCAATTAAGTATTTCTATAGTACTTATATGATTTAATCCTTTAAAATATTTTAGATAGGTTCTTTTACCATGTTCTTTTAAACCATGGAAATTGAAGACGAAAGGAAATTATAGAAATTTCTTCAATCACAAACAGCAAGTTGGCAGCTATGGAGGGAATTGATTGTAGTTCCTTTAACCACATTTCAATGCAGCATATAAAACAGTCTTTTATAGCCTTTTTTATTTTACCAGACCCCCAAATTTTAGCATTTTTATAATCTCCCCATTTTGCCCAAGAGATGTTTTTGTTCTATTCAAAAATATTTATTGATTTCCTATTATATCGAAGGTATTCTGCTAAGTGCTAGGAAATGGAATGATAAATAAGACACAGAACCTGCCTTTGAGGAGATTTTATTTTGACATTCAAATCTCAAATTTCCTCTATTCTTGTGAATAGTTTTGGCTTACATTAGTTATCTTAGATAAAGATTTTCTGCTTTTGAGAACATATCCTGGAATGTATGTAGAGTTAGGAAAGTATCTTTACAAGGTTTGGGGCATTTTACATATTTGCAAGTCAGTAGTGTGTTGCAATGGTCTATTGAGTCTATTAATCTCAGATAACCCTGATGAAGATAAATAGATATCTTTTTATATAAAATATTTTAAATATATATCAATTTTATATACACACATATATTCATTTTGTGAATAGTATGAGAGTCAATGAAAAGGGGGCTATTATTTGGTCCATTTTTTCAAACACAAAGAAAAATTGGAAAGAAAAGAGAGGTTTTGAGGAACAGTAAGGGGAGCCATAGGGACTGGTGATGTAGGACTCAACCTACTAAATTCTAGTTATAGTTCTGCCTACAGAAAGTACATTTTAGGGATTTAGGTCAAAGTACTAGAAAAAGAAAAGGTAACTAGGAAAAGAAATTTAAATGATAACTACCTTGTTTGCTTTTTCATTTTGCCTTTTTAAAAGGAGAATCTCAAAATAAGGCTTTACCTTTGTTTCCTGTCAATGCCAACCCCTCTCAAGCTAGGAAAATAATTAAACCAAGCATGTGTTCTGCATTCCAGAAAATGAACGCATGACCTTTCTGCTGTTTTGCATGAGATTAGTTTTGTGCTTGGAAAAAAATTCAAATAATATGTGTTACTACCATCTGTCCAAACCATGTATTCTTTGATTAAACTAATCTAATGATATGCAACCTTATTTTCCACAGATTAACATTGACTTCAGTACCAGGGACCTCATCTCAAAGAATATTGCTGAACCAACAACCAAATGCTTTGATGAGGCTCAGAAATTAATCTACAGTCTCATGGCCAAGGATTCTTTTCCTCGCTTTCTAAAGTCAGAGATTTATAAGAAACTGGTAAATAGCCAACAGGTTGGAAATCATAAAAAGTGGCTCCCTTTCTTGTGAAGAAGGTAAAATGATAACCTAGTCACTATATTTCAAGGCTAAATGTTTAAGTGTACGATCACAATACTAATTATTTTAGGCTTTAGAATACATTTTTATTCCAACAGAATATTTTTATACACCAAACCTAAATTTCTAAGTCATTTGTTTAGAACCTAGTCATTTTATCAGGTACTTAAAAATCTCCTACTAGAGAGTACAGAGTTTATAATGATAAATATATTTTAAAAATCCTAATACTTTTATGGCATTATAATTTCAAGAAACTATATATCTGTTGCAGAGTAAGAGTCTGTTAAACACCATATCCATGGTTTTAAATGCCATTTGCATTATTCAAAAACCTCACTTCTATAAAAAGTGAAAATTTGGACCAAAACACAACCTTCCATTTTGTGAATTTGTTTTCTTTCAACTATTCTTACCTATTTCTTATAATGTAATGGTCATCTAAACATCTATGGCTCTCAAAGTACTTAAAAAGAATTATAAGAATGTATGCAGAATTACAGGTATGTCCAATAGCACTAGGAGCCAAAGCTTTTCAAAATACATTCCTTGGATCAACTTAATGGCATTATATAGGCTTTTGTATGCAAAGAGGTTTGAGAGTGAATATTCACTTTTTCATTTTAATAGGAATATAAAAGAAAAAAAGTACAATAAAGAGCATGGACAAATCCTTGTATGGTGAACAATGTAGCCCATTCTTAAATTTTTAAAATGATGTTTTTAATTTAAAAATCAAAAATTTTTAAAACTGCAACATCATTTATTCAATTGTGGAGCTAAGTACCTATTCACTCATTCAGCACTGGAACTTGTTCACAAAACTAAAATTTTAAAATTTTTATTTTAAGGTTTTCCTAAAATTGTTCATTTATATAAATGTCCCATATGAGTATGGATAACTTCCTGTTGATATAAGAAGCTATAAAAAAATCAACAGATCTTGCATGTTTCCATTTTATTTGCACAGATTTATTTATCTTTATTGCTATTTCTATTTTGAGATTGAACATTTAAAAGCTGAGGAAAAAATAGAATGTCTTATTTCATGTTTCCGCAAACTATTCATTTGATAGACAAAATTTTGCCTCCCCTTCATCATGGAAAATAAACATTTAAACACATGCAAATAGAATATTCCCCGTACATTTGCAAGTTCTTTAAAGCACAGCATAACTCAAACTGGTTGTGAAATATTTAGTGTGCATTTTTGTGCACTTAGGGGAAAATAGCGACGCATTTCTCAGCATTTATTCTGGAGGTTCCAACCAAAATTTAGTCTCTGTTTAAAATGGGTAAGTTTTAATTATTCCAAAAAATGAAATAGAGTTTTGAAAATAGACAGGAGCCTAGAAATTAAAGTCACATTTCCACTTTTGAACAGGAAACACACACACACACACACACACACACACACACACACTGAAAGCTCAGTTATTTCTTCAGATCATGCATGGTAAGTGACAGAGATGGGAAAAGCTGTGACTTCCCCACCTTGCCACTAAGGCTCCTTGTAGTGACAGAAGCTGTGTGATCCCCTTTCCTATTCAGAACTCTGCTGAAATCTGGAATTCATTTTCCTACTCATCCTCAAATACTCCGTAATGATCCTTTCATTTATTATTGGAAGTGTCTCTATATAAATAGCTGGTAACTTCTGTCTTATTATCATAGAGTGAGATTTCTTGGTTAATGATTGACACTCACATTTTCCCTAATGATGCTGAAGGAAGTCACAAATATCACCTTCACCACTAGAAGCAGTAGGTGTTTGATAATACCTAAAATGGAGCAGTTGTCAAAATGGTTTGTGGAAAATTGAATGTTAAATGACCTCTAATAGAAATCCAACCAAAGCCCTTCAATATCGACACCTTTCTCTTATCTCCTCAACTCACTCCTCATCCTGAGCGATGATTCTAGATCTCCCAATTTAATAAATTAGAAAAGAAAGCAATTAAAGGTTTTTGGTAGTGAAGATTTTTCAGAAAAATATCAGCTGTAGCTCTTCCACGTGTGATTCTGTTCATGTCTCCCTCTACATGCTTTTCTTCCATCAGTTACTATCAATCAGTGATTTTATGAATGAAATTTAACATTCAAGATTAACTTGCAAAAGATGAATAATAATATTAACATTCCTGAAAATGTATTTTAATATTCAATGATTCTATAATCTCATTTTCTAAAATGCTTCCATTGACTTTAAGAAAGGAACCACTTACATTAAAAAGCTAAACTAAGCAGTAGAACATTAATAAAATTGTAATGTATTTAAGTAGAAAATAACCTTCAAATTATTGTTTTTCTCCCTCAGCTATGTTTTTTTTTATTTTCTGACAGTGCTCACAGAATGCTTTAATGCAACTTACATTCTCCTACCACTCGCTCAGATCTAAAGTTAGAAGAAATATTTCTAAAAGAATCTTTTCTTCTTTAATAATTCATGTGGAGCTACAATCCATAAATTTCTCTGAAATCCTTTTGAATGAGTATATCAAATATTAATCATTTCATCAATAATGACTTTTATATTTATACAAATATAGCTTTTTATATTTGTCTTAAACGATCTATTTCAGTCTCAAAACAAAAATCAAGAGTCTTTTGTGTTTTTTCTTTTTTCAAATATTCATTATAAAAATCTAAAACCTTTAGGGCATTACAGATGTAACCTAGTCTCCAACTTACTTTATCTTCCCAATCTTGCTTCTGTTTTTATTTTTATCTTATGTGTACAGTTCATTCCACTACCTTCCATTGTTTTAGTTACTATTCTCTACAATATTACTGAATCTCTATGGTGTAGCAACTTTATGTATTCATAGTATTCTTGATGAGAATACATGTTTATTTAATAAAAAATTAAACATTTATTTAATAAATGTGGTTTTTTCTCCTTTTTAGCATCCTTTTAATAAAGCTTTGTAGCATTTGGCCTTTAAAGCACAGTAACATTCTGGGCCATAAATTTGAGAACTAGTCTATGTTTCTTTTCTAGAATTTAAAAAACATTTCAAGTGCATTAGCCAGGACTTGAAATTTAGATTTAATATTCTTTCCTTTTGTCTATATGAAAATTGATTAGCCAGTATTCCTAATCATATAGTGATAACATAAACATAAATCAATTTGAATCATTATTGGAAAACTGAAGAGACTCATTCTTAAAGTACAAAGGAAATTTTACAAAGAAATCTCTTTTCAAAGCAAAAACTTACAGTTTGGTCTCAGTATCACTAGTCTTCTCACTTTTATTATTATTTATTTTTTTACAAAGAGTTTATCTCTATCCTTCCCTGCACATTCCCTACATAACAAGTTCACCCCAGTTATATCTAATATTGTCCTTATTTACTTTCCAACTACAAAGTCATGTAACTTATTTCATGGTTATGTCAGTAATTTAAAGTGAACTCCTTTTACAACTACATAAAAAAGATGGGATGTTGTCACAGCAGTAATCAATTATTATATGAATATTCACATAGACTATGATCCTTTTATGTTTTGTTATATTTGCCACTGCTTTTAATGGGAAACCACCAGAAACAAGTATTGATATATTTACTTTACTATGTCACTTCAGAATTTTTTTTGTATTTTATATACAATTATTATTTATATGGTATATTAAAATATATGATATAATTAGTTGTAATAATAAATGAACAAATACTTATATATTTCAAAGTATAATCGAAGGTGGGAAATAACATTTTTAAAGAACTTATTTTTTTAAGAAACCACATTATATTTTTTCTCCTCGGTTTGCTTAAAATTCAACAGTAATGAAAAAAAAATACCCAGTGAAATTTAATCAGGTTATTGTTTAGCCATTGAATATTTATGTTTTGTATTTGTATCTAGATTAAAGTCAACTATGAATATTTCTAGAAATGAAAATTGTCTTGTTCGATTCATATTTTTTCCTTGGGTGGTGATTACTTAATTAATTTCCTAGATATTTTACATAAAACATTTCTATTTTCCTCAACAAGAATTTTGAAGCAATTAACTCCTTACAAAGAGTGTGGGTTCATCCTTCTAGTGCTATTTTTTTCTCTTGTGCATTTAGGAAAACAGTTTGTAATATTTGGACGATTAATGTTGTGAATGATGATGACTTAGAAATAAAATACAATAAATAAATGGCTGTTTTTAAAAGCTGATTATAAGAAAAAGTTACATATTTCACTAATTTAGATATACTGGGTATTCCTCATGTATTTCTTATAGATTTGAATTACACTGTTTAATTTTTTATAGTGTCAGTTTAGGTCTTTCAAAAGTAAATATTTTTGTGCATGATGACTTAGAGTTTTTGTTTTTATTCCACTTTCCAAATATATCAGGTTTACTTCAAAGACATATCATGAACTCAAAAATCACAAGACTGTTTTTTCTTACTTCTTAAATTGAAAAAAAAACAGAAAATGTCTATTATTCAGCAGAAAAAAAATATGATTTTAAAATTAATCATTCAAAACAGGGTTTAATTTTTGAATATGAATCTTTTATGGGAACATGCCATAATCCATTGTTAAAAACCAAGAGCACATTAGGAGAGATTTAAATGGTTGAATTCATGATCAATCTACTAAAAATGTATTTTTAAAGTCTTGCTTCTTGTCCTACAGTTCTATAGATTCCTTTGTACATTTTTCTTCCTGCTAGTAGTCTTTTAAGAAAGAATAAATAGATCCTAACACTTAAAGGTTAAAATTTGAACCTTTGTTTTAAGCAAGAGAAAACTGTGTTTTAAGCAAGAGAAAACCCTTTGTCCCAAAGGAAGATTTTAATATTATGGAGTAGAAGCCAGTAGAAAATAAATATCATTGCATAATAGCTTTAAATACCTTTAGAACTTCATTGAGAAATCTAAGGTTGTTTGTATATATGAACACGTGTATTTATCTATTTAATAAATTCTGTACTTTAGTTTCAGTTTTACAAGTGTCAATGACTTATTTCAATTCACTAGGAGTTAAAGGCTATAACTGTATATTTACAAATGTTTAATAACCACTGTCTTTTTAAGAATCCTCATTGCACTTCAGATGTAAGCAATGTGAAAAGCACAAAAGATCTTGTAAAGTCTGTAAGTAAACCATGGACTGAAAAGATAGCAACATTTGTGCTGCAGCTTATAGTTCAAAGTATTTTCTCAAAGGAAAAGTAGTTTCATCTCCCTATAACATATGTAACCTAAAGAGCTACAGCATGCCTTGATCATTTCAAGATATGTGCATATGAATATTGATATTCTTATCACTTTATATTAACATATAACTAGTAGAACATGAACAACTTAAAGTAGCATCTACTGAGACAGAAAAGAGAAAGAATGACTCAATGGGAGAAAAAAAGTAGTGGTCATCTAGCAGAGAAGAGAGCAAGAGGTGTGAAGGAAACATCTGGAAGCCCAGGACACCCAGCGCAGAGCACAGTCAAGAGGTCTGACTAGGAAAGAAGCAATGCAAAGAATAATGGTCTTGTAGTTGGCAGGACAAATGATTTCAGCCCTGGAAGAATAGGAGAATAATGCAAAAACTAAGAGGGATCTCTTGTGAAAAGGCAGAATGGTGAAAGGAAATTCCATACCAAAGGCATTCCATTTAACAAGTGGAGTTGTAACTACTACCCATGTCCTGTGGTTTTGAGGGATGTAAAAGAAGTGCAAATTCCTCCTTAAGTGAACATAACCTCCTCTTTCAGCTTCTATTAGCAGTTAAAAATGCTCAAATGTCCCACTTTTGAACAAAGAGGGGTTCGTTTTCTCTCTCTCTCTCCCCCCTCCCTCCCCTGTCTCTCCTCTCCCTCCCTCTCCCTTCCCCTCTCCCCCTCTCTCTTTCCCTCTCCCTCTCCCTCTCTCTCATGCTTAGTGCTCAAACTGTCCTAATTTAAACTCTTCACAATCAAGTATCAGACCAATTTTCTG